GAAAATCCGAAACTAGTTTCGGATTAGAACCTTTCCGAAACTAGTTTCGGGTAGGTTTCGTTTCGAGTCCAACTCTATTGTAGATCATTTCTATATCACGTAAAATACCGGTTAATTGATTGGGTTTTTAGGTAGTGATACCTGACGAAACCGTGTGATGCTAATTGTCACATGGTACAGCAATTTATGATTTTTATAAGTAATAGCACGTGATAATTAGTATCACATGGTTTCGTCAGGCATCATTAGTATATACGCATATAATCCATTGATTTTGTTTATAAAAGATAAGAAATTCATTACTATTTAACATTAGGTTAAACTTAAAATTATCCTTTCATAATCTTTTTGAATTATAATCTCGAAGTGAGTGAAAATAATTCAATGACATGCAAAAAAGATGAGTGAAAGAATGACAGACAAAACTATGCAAGAGAAGAAATTCATAATTATGAATTTGAAAGAGGAATGGGAAAAGGCTGAAATAAGTTAAAAAAGAGAAAATATTTAATAATATTAAATATCGTGATGTCTTTATTTACTATACTTTTTGGAGGAATATTATTTTATATTTTTTTGAAAAATCTCGCCACTAATATATTTCGCATTGTGACATCGAGTGTTCTTGCCAGTGGTGGGTTTTAGTTCTTTTTAAAACTCTTGGTGAAAAGTTAAACTCGAACAAAGATAATATTATTTCATTGGTTGAAGCTACAAAAAAAGCTGCATCTAAGGTATTCATGCCCACGATCTTGCCAATATCCGACGAACTCTTAGAAAAAGATAAGCTGATTTATAGGTGCCAAGAATATTTAGATTATTTAAAGCATATCAATAAGCTTATTAAATATGAAAAGAAAATTGCTGTAACATGTATAATTTTAGTGTCTTTATATATTGTTATTACATCTATTTTCTCGATTTTGATTAATATTAATATTATCCCACGTATCACTGGATATGATGATTTTATCTTAGCCATAAGTATTATCGTTATCGGTTATTTATGGTTAGTCAATGTAATGTTAAGTTTATGTGAACGGGAAATTGAGAAATTTATAAATTTTTCTATAGTACCTTCTAAAAAATTTCGTAACATTTCTTATTTTTTAAAATTCTTATTCATAAAACCTATGTTTGAAATAGTTTTAGCACAAATAGCACTTTATTATTGCTTAGCGAAGAGATTATATTTAATTAAGATATTTGATGATCGTGATAATGAAGATGGGATAATGAAATTGATTATGATGATACTGTTATGGATAAATATCTGAGAGAGGATCAAGATGTTGAACAAGATGTTGAACAAAAATGAAATTATATAGAATATGAATATGATTGGGTAGCTTTTTTTGGAAACAGTTAAAATAGACGGGTATACAAAGTAAGATTTTTTGGAAATAAGGAAGAAAGAACTCCTTTTCAAGAAAATTTTAAAATTAGAGACGTGTGGAACTTGGCAAAGGTTCTCGCAGAAGATTTTAGAAGACGACTTTTTGGAAGACAACTTTTTGGAAGACAACCTAAAATATGTAGCTACATAATTATGGCTATTATTTTTATTTGGATATTATTGCTTTATAATCCTCTTTTAATTGGATTCATTTTCGTTTATATAATCGGTAAATTTCTTTCTAATGAACAAGCTGATAAATTTCTTTCTAATGAAAAGGCTAGTCATAAGCGCAAAATATTAAAATCTTCACTCGAAGAGAATATAGGAATAACATTTGATACCTCCACTCCGGTTATTATTAAAAAATATATTATCTATACAGCTATATTATGGTTAAAGATGAAAACTAAGTATCAATTCAAAATTGAATCTATGGTAATAACTGAAAAGCAAAGAAATGAGCTTAGGCGTCTTTTATGTGGAATAGTTAATGAAGAATATTAGTTTATTGGTTCATTTCATTATATTGTATTTGTTAATTTTCTGTTTTTATGATTATACTCAAATAAACATATTGTTATAAAATTAGGCGGTTGAGTTTCTTAAAGGGTGTTAGTAATGAGTACGATGTATTGTACTGTATCATGCTGATATCACGTACGTACGTAACAGAAATTCATGATTTCGGTAAATTTTATTTATCTACGATAATATCGTCCGTAGGACATTTAATGATTAGCCATAATGATACAAAAGATCCGTTTTTGATGCATCATAATTTACGTTCTTGATTAATTCATTAGATGTATTATACTGATGCATCAAAAATGTAAATTTGAAAATTCATGTATGTCCGCACGCATGTAATTTAGTATAACAAAAGCATGCACATCACCGGACACAGTGCTACGCATACCAGGGGGAGAAACGTTGAAACGTCACAAAATCGTTACACAATTGATAAAAAATTTTTTTATATTATTTTACAATACTTTTTTGGA